TAAAAACTTTTCCCCTATAAAATTGTGAAACTTTATATATACACCGTTATTCTAAGCCCGGTTTAGAAAATATTGATATGGATCAGTATCCTCCAATCTAGATTGAGAATTAGCAGGACCAGTCCCATTTACACAAAATTGGGAATCAGTCCAATCCTATTCAACATGCTAGTTTTCTAGCAGAATTGACCGACTCTGTTAAGGAACTGATTGATCCGTCGCCACTAGTCATTTTTATTAGTTTTTTCAACTTTTTATTTTGTTTTATATTTTTCTTATTTTTTATTGGCTGATTTATTTGGCCAAATTGCCAATCTGTTGATCCAGACCAATTTTTTGGATGGGTGATTAGATCACTGATCTGTTTTTTAAACACTAATTATGCATATGGGCCGTTGAATTGGAATGTCTTACCAATTGGAAAATTATAACAATAATTAATATACGATATTGTTGTCAGTTCACTTCCAGCTGTTTGAACAAAATCGTATTAAGTGTGATATTTATTGTATATGCACAATGTTTCGCATTTTACTTATAAAACTTCTTAGTATAGTATGGAGGCCAATAGTCATTGGATCTTAATAGAATGGTTAAGAGAGTTGAAAATAATTTCATGGGTTAATAAATGATATGTAAAAGGTGGGTTTATTAATTTTGTAATTTATTTTTTAATGATCTTTTTGATAAATACACCCATCACAACCCTTTTTAACTTTAACCATTGTATTTTGAGGGGTTGTTAACTCAAGATAGATCCACACACACACACACACACATATATATATATATTGATTGTCGCTCCACTCCCAACTGCTTGAACAAAATCATACTACTTTCTTGAGACACCAATTCCACAAACTATGTCACTACTTTCTTGAGACACCAATTCCACAAACTATGTCTAAAGCATAGTTAGCAAGTCCGCAGTTAAAATGCGACTTTTTTAAAAAAAACACAGAGTTTTTTTCAAAAACGTTTAAAACGCGCCTTATTGATCTATATGAAAAAATCGGTTCAAAAAAACTTTGCTTTTTTTACCTGTATTTTTTTCCCTAAAAGATGAAAACTTTTTTCCTATTGTATGTAATTTTTATTTCCATGCTTTCTAAAAAGTATATTATTTCTCAAAAAAAAAAACTTCCCTAAGAAAATATATTTTGATCCCCAAGTATATTGTTAATGTTTATTATCTTAGGGTTTATTCTCAAATCCATTGAATAAAATTAGAATAAAATACCATAAAAACCATTGAATAAAAGATCTCTAAATTTTGACTTGACAAAATTCCACCAAAAAATCCATCCAAATTAGGGCTCAAAGACCCAGATTATCACAATTTATACATCTTAAATACCGAAAACAAAAGGTTAAAAAAAAAAAAAACAGATTAGGGCTCAATCCTCAAACTTAATTCTTGATTGGAAATCATTGATTAGTAAATCTCTAAAACAAAAGCTTAAAAAAAAAAAACTAGACTAGGGATCAATCCCCAAACCTAATTTATGACTGAAAATCTTAGATTAAGGTTTGTCCACCTTGTTCTTCATCTTCAATGAGATTTTATTCTATTTTGTTTCTTTGTGCCTATGCATGCTCTCTCTCTCATTATGCTTTTCTTTATGGAATGTTTTGTATTTGCTTCTCATCTTTTGGTTATGTGTTTCTTCTTTGGTCTACTATGTTTGTTGTTGCTCGTCTAACCAAAAAAGTGTACATCTTCCCATTATATAACTATGGTTATAAATGGATAGTCATCATACAGAGAGAGAAATGAATATACCCAACTCAATTCTACTTATCTCACATTGTCGCATTTTTTTTTTTTTTGCGTTATGTATTAAGTATGTGTGGTGTTTGTTAAAGCATTTAATGAGAAAATTCATATCGTAAATTTAGAAGCAACTTATCATTTTATTTTTTATTTTTTATGTTTAGTTAATTTTATTTTAATTTCTACTTAATTTTATTTTAGATATGTCCATTTTTTTCACCCCCATTTTTTGAGCCTAGTCCGATATATTTGCGATATTTTTACATAAAGTATTTTTTCCGATCCGTATTTTTGACACTATTTTTTCATCCGAATTTAAAAAAAAAAAACGATTTATTTCCGATTTTATGGTGAGCCGATATATTAATTTTCCCGAAGGCTAACTATGGTCTAAAGACATTTGACCTTCTCTTTAATGATCTTTCTATGGGTTTCCCGACAGATGTAAATTAGGAGAAAATATCAAAATACACTTAATTTATCAAGTATTTCATATGTCGACTATTTTCAACTATTCTAACCCATTATCATGTATTTTGATGGATTTTTGGAAACTAAATCAAAAAATAAAGGTAAAATGTCAAATAATTCATCTCTTACCCATTATCATGTATTTTGATGGATTTTTGGAAACTAAATCAAAAAATAAAGGTAAAATGTCAAATAATTCATCTCTTAGATGCACCTTTGATAAAAAAACCTGTAATTTACTTGTCAAGCGACTTGCCGTTGTCTGATCATGGTCAAACAGCTCGAAGTGAATCGACAAACATTAATTGCAACCTACTAAAAATATTAGTATCAATTTACAATATTATTATCAACTCACTATCACCCAATCCAATAACGTCGAACATTGTCCAAACACATGATAGTTATATGTAGCGATTGTATACAAGTACTTTTGATACAAGATAATCACAATTAATTACTACCATTTTATATAGAGATTGTATACAAGGATTTTGACAGTTATATATAAGGATTGTATACAAGTACTTTGATAGTTATATATAGGGATTGTGAAGTTTGATAGTTTGGATATATAAGTATCAATTTTATCGTCTCATTTTGTACCAAAGGTAAATGATCTTCATATATACTTTACCTTATATACAAGACAAATAAAAAGTTCAGTTTATCTTTAGAGTAACAATCCTATATGACCTTCTCCCATCTATATGTGTTGGACCCAAAAGATCACCATTAAAATTGATACAAACATTTAAAAAAATTATAACATAAATGAGATATTTAATTTTTCTAAAAATCCATATCAAATTTAATATATTCTAATGTGGACCCTACCCGCAGGGGTAGGGGAGGATCATCTATCTTATCTTTATTGTTGAGGATTTACGCCTATTTTCATGCCCTTTTCGTTGTCAATAAATGCTGGTAAAATCCTCTTGGTGAAAGCGTCACCACACATGTAACGGGCAGACCGGCCGCCTTTTGACTGGTCCTCTACCCGTCATAACCCGCCCCTTTCCTCATCCAAACCAAACCCACCGTTATTTTGTTTTTCTCTCTAAAATTACACCATTTTCTGTCTCTCAAATTACACCATTTTCTCTCTCTTCCTCCATTTCCACCACCTGAGCAACTCTAAATCCACCGCTTTAAACTTACCCCACATCAAAACCAATCTCAAAAACTTACTCCATAGCCCAAATAAACACATCTCTCTCTCTCTCTCTCTCTCTCTCTCTCTCTCTCTCT